GATACATGCTGATATCCATATGCTAAGTCAATGGAACCAAATAAAATAATAAAACAAAAAAATGAAATGAAAATCAAAGGTTAAGGTCAAAATTGTCCTTTGCAACATTCTTTATCATAATTTCACATTTTAAATTTTGTAAACGATGATTTTGCACGCAAGATTCTTTTATTATCAGATATGCACTGACTTGACCTTTACAAGGTCACTATGGCCTCAAAAACACTTAGGATGCACCTGAACACTATGCCATAACTAACCCCTTACATACTAAATACCATATTATGTCATAATGGTCATGAATGACCTGGGGGCAGTTTTATATACTTAGTATGACGGATCCTTTATCTATTAATGCTCGTTCACTAGAAGCAATATTCACTAAAATTGTCATGTCACGTTTTTCATTTGCTGGGGACTTCCTGGAAGTCCCCAGCAAATGAAAAACGTGACATGACAATTTTAAGGTGTGACTATATTGCCACATTTAGGTCGCATTACAACCTTGTCTTTATGGGTGTACTACTCTCCCCGTCATCCAATTCGGAATAACCATCCACAATTGAGCAAACAATTACACTTTCGCGTGTTGGGATGAATTTACGATCCCCGAGACTAAAATCATCGTTTCCCTTGCTGTGATTAAATAAAATGAAGCACATTTAGCAAATCTCCATATTAAAACCTAATTTAGCGTAGATTTTCCCTATTGGACGAGCCTTTGAATGGCGCTATTTTTAAAAAATTGATCGGATAATCCTTTAAAGCTTTTAAAATTGAACCCTTCAAAGACTGTATCACGACTCACGTACGTGGGTACGTGGGCATAAGGTACAAGTTTTTTTTATACAAAGCCTATATTTAATAAGTTATTATACAATGCAGAAGCCAGACCCTATTAATGTTACATAATTTTGCAGAGCAATTGACTTTAATCAGGACAATGACATCACGAAGAAATCCTGTATTTTGATTGGTCAGATTTCTCTGGCCTCTCAAAAGGTGACTGGCTTTACTGAATAATCTTCTTCGTTCACTCGGCTCCCGTCGGAAGTAACGCATTGAAGACCGAGCGTGCGAAGATGCTGAATAATACCATCCCTGGGCAGTCTAAATCGATTGATGGATTCATTTTATATTGTTTTATTCAAGTACATCAAGTAATCTTTTGTAATATTGGATAAATAACGTCTGATCAAATAACTTAATCGCCCAGTTTCTGGTGACAATACACGATGTATCTAAATTCCTCTGATGGATGATTGTCCCACACATGATTTGCAAATCGTTCAGTGAATGTTGGAAATTCAACCAATGGATGGCAGTGATAACAGGCAAACATCACAATTCTAGGTTGATTTCGGTTTAACACATTAGAAAGAAGGAGATGTATTTAAAAAAACACACGAAAACACGAGTAGTAGTGTATTTTAAAATTTGTACAGACACCATCATGCAGAATTTAAAAGTTGTTCAGACACCATCATTTTTCGAAATAAAAAACAGTGATATCTCAAAAAATATGCGTCCTCTGCTTGTAAATTTAGGTTCATTTGAAAGACTGAGATAGTATGCACAAGTGGGGCGGGATTTGAAGCATTTAACAAAGTATAAATATGAAATTTATTCGTTTTTCTTGCTTAATCGAGAAAATCTTACGCCTTGTTCAGACACCATCAGTTGCGAAGGTCACGTGATGACAATCCCTACCGTGTATATACGGTCGTAAATAACATAATTAGAAGAAACTCCTCCTCAAAGGAGCCCTGTGTTCTTTTATGTGAACCCATACATAGACATACAAGTACACACCAAAGCCTTTTGTACGAGTTTTGGATTACTCGATCAAAAACTCTGAAGTACTTTACGCAAACAATTGGTGTATCATAAATGTACCATTTCTTGTTTAACCTTTTCGTGGCACTATATGACTCCTGGTTCAAAAGCTCGCCTATCTTCTAAATGGTCGCCATTTTTGTCTCACAAAATTCACTTTTGGCCCATTTCCTAGCTTTACAAATAATTTTGTCCATTAATCTCGCGAAATCCACTTTTGGACCATTTGCCCTAAAACCTCTGTCAATAAGAGTCCCGTTTTAAGCTATTTTTGTTCAACATCAATGTAGAAAACTCCTCTATGAAACCTGTTTTAAAAGCTCGACTATTTTCAAAATGCTTGCCATTTTTGTCACGCAGAATTCACTTGTGGCCAATTTCGTAATTATACGGGTCAAATACTTTCAGGTGTCCTGGATTCTAAAAAGCCATGTCACTGTTAAGAGTAGTTGTATGAAATAATTTTGCTCTAAAAAATCGGCAAAAATTACATCAATTTTTTTATTTTCTGCCATTTTAGCCATCATTCAATTTTGAACAACACCATGTGAGCCCAGTACCCACGGTACTATTTATTGTTTTGTTGTTATTAACTTATTACCCAGCCCTTTCACTGGAAATGTCAATCCGCGGGATCACAAGGTAGTTCCAATATGTTGTGTTTTTAAGAGCTTCAAAATGCTATTATCTTCAATAAGTGGATATTCATTCACAATCATGCATGAAAAACTTGGGAAAATATTTTTCCCGAATTTCAAAAGAAAACACTTCGTTTGAATCTTAGTTATGCGTAATAATACGAATAAAATTACGGATTTTCTTTCAATCAGGTGTGTCGTTCGAGGTTATGGATCTCTGTGCGCTGGTCGAGAAATATGTTCGGAAACAAGGAAATGGTGGTGCGCGGTAAAAGATTTCACGTTCGCGGTGTAAGAATCGTGGTTCGAGTGTAAGAACTTAGTTCGCGGTATCAGAACTGATGTTCGCGTTGTTGGAAGTCTAGGAGGCCTCTAGTACGCCGTTAACACGAGAGACTCTGTAGAATAATGCAATACGCCAACAGAAAGGCATTTTTGTTTTGCTTTGCATGGAAGAAAAATGGTGTAGTGTGAGACTCACAATCCTTGATTTTCATACACCTGCTAGATTTTAAATTCAAAGGAAGTAGTACGCTCTCGATTATGATTTCCCCATGAAAAAAATTGTCCTTCTGATTTTTCAAAATGAGTATACTGCTTTTATTATTACATTTATATGCACACTCGTATCTTGTTGACCTATATTGAGCACTGTATTGATGTATGGGCCACTTATAAGGGTCATAATTTAATCATGAAGTGTAGAGGTGTAGATTTTCAAACCAGGAAGTAATTTTGTGTCTGTCAAAATCCATTTGCATTCACACATCCCTACATCTCATCCAAATATGTTATAAATTAATGAAACATAACAGTATAATCTTTGTATTTACAAAGTTGTGTGGCATTTCATAAAAGTTGCTTTTGAAGCATTTTTCTATAGCCCTTTTATTAGAAAAAATGATGAAAAAATGTGTAATCTTTTAATTTGAAGTATGGCCTGAATCGATTGCAAACTTCATATTTGCACATCTGATGTGATATACGATTTGTGTCATATTGTGAAATTATTTAATTTGCAATCGATTCAGGTCATAGTGTATTTTAGGTATTTTTGTGAAAATCAATAGAAACCAATGGCCTCCTTTGGAATCTGATGGTATCCACATGTTAAGTCAAAAGAGCACATCTAATGTCAAGTCAAAACACCCTTGCTGAACTTAATGACCTCAACCACAGCCCACGTGGGTCCAAATGCTAAAATATTTTCCAAAATATTATGTGACATTGTATTCTATTATTATGTTACACCTAAAAATGATTCATTTTGTTCATGGGGAAATCATAATGGAGAGTGCACTAGACCCTTTAACGGTTTTGTGGGGCGTATTGGCTTCGATACGTCCCGAGTAGTTGGACCCCTGTGATATCACGTCATCTAAACTTGAACAAATATATAAGGTCGATTTTTCACGGTGTCCAACACAAACGCTCTTACGTGCACGACGGAACGTTTCATTATTTGAAACTAAACAAAGAAACGCCCCGTAGTCGGAAAATGGTAGGCGGGAATGAGGAGCCGTCTGACGATTTTCCCAATAATGGGGATAAGAAGTATATGCTACTTATTTCGACTTTACTATTCGATCGGTGTGATATTCACGTTGTACTTGGCTGGCTGTTGACGTTTGTGAAGCAATTAGGAAGAACTGTACGAAGGAGTGTAGTTATCAAAAATCCATAAACGTATTTCTACCGGTCAAAACCACTTTTTGTCGAGGCATGTGATTAGTTGAGTAAAGATTAGAGCATCAGTGTATATTTTGATCTAATTCTAAAGCAATTCAACACACCATACATTATCGTAATTGTGATTTGATGACCGAAAATCCAGTCTTTAAAATCATAACATTCTCATATTCAAGAAACTCTGCGATCTGGTTAACACAGTGAACTGGAAACGCTGCGGTACTAGTCTAGATTTGTTAAGAAATTAGCTTGACTTTCCTTTTCAGGAAGAGAACAAAATGGTAAGGGGGGCGTTTCTAAAATTGTGTCCAAAATCGGCGGAGCGTTTCGAGGAAAACATGAGATTTCTCGAGAACAAGTAATAGATTTGGACTGGGATTTTAGCAAATGAGAATATACGAGTTTGCGATCTACTACTTTGACAGAAAGATTGACGTTTTCATAGATATACTAGTTTAATTCGGAATTTGTGGTCAATTCGTCAACTTCAGATTCGTTCGATCTACACTTTACACGATCAACAGTTTACCACCGGACCATTGGTTGAATAAATAAAATCTTTGCTCAGAGTTTGTTCATCGAATGGTACATTATATGTCTCCGTAACGTATGATATGTAAGAGAAACGAGTGAAACAGTACTTACTGACATAGTGGCATCTTAATAAGCCGCCATTTTACTTTGCTCCGCAGCGTTTCCGCTGGAATGAAACGCTTCTTCGGGCATGTAAGAGCGTTTGGGTTGGACACCTCGTTTTTAGACGGTGTCAGTGCGACACAATCATGTAAATTGTGTCTAAGTATATCAAGCTCGTTAAGATAACGCGTTCATAAGTGCAAACGGGTTGGCACTTGTGGGTGAACAGCTGAATGGCGACTGATTGCATGACGCGTACCTCCACCGGATTCACGGTGTACGGTAAAGATTTTTTTAAGGATGGGACGGGGATTGTTCCTTTCAATCACCCTGCCGCATATACAGATGAGTGTACAAATCTAGAAATCCGAGATGATGACTTTTACTTCACTGGCTGGCCTAGAACAGGTAACATTTTTAAGTAAGAAAGATTAGTCTTGCTTCAAGACTGTGTACTCCCCCCCCCCCACACACACCTTTTTACCTTCACCAACACACACAGTTGAAGTGAAGTAGATCGGGAGAGGGGTCAAGATTCTTAAGCAAGACTAAAGTAAGATATTTAGATTATTATTCAGTGACAGTAATAATATTATATGTTTAGGCATAAAAATAACAACTTATAAACCAATATACGACATGGTCGAAGGTGGTTAAAGTTGCATGGAAGATTTGGCTCGAGGTTTGGTTCAAAAGTGACTTGTCAAAAATGAAGATTATAACTTTGTGTGTCGAAACCCCTTTAGGTATCTGAAGTTAAGATAGTTTTTAATCATACAAATAGCTAAGAAAAGTGTAGGCTGCAAAATGTGTCCAACTCCAGCCAATCAAAACACAGCATTTCACATAATAACATTGCATTCAATTACTCAAATGTATCTGGCCTATTTTTAGATTATATCAATTTCATAGTTTCAAGTTAGTTGTCAAGTTGGCTGATCTGTTCACAAAAGTATACTCTTATTAGTCATATAGACATATCATAACATGTCTCTGAATAACAAAAAAATATTATTGTACAGTAATTAATGTTGTTATTTTTATTTTATTTTTTTGAAATAAAAATTGTCATCCAATCAAAATCATTGTTTTCTTTCTAAAGATGATATCTATGCATAATAATAGTAATAGGCCAGGATATAGCATGGGTTTTGGGAAGTTCAAGGGCCACTTGATAGACATAATGTTTCTGAAAGATGACTTCATTTAGCATCAATTCATATATGTCTGGGTCTTTTTAGTTTGTGGACGAAGGATTCTGAGCAGTTTTACCCCCCTTGAATAATATTTCAGGGGGGTACTATATTATCATTCTATAAAATCAGTTATGCATTAACTATAGCACTGATTTATACATATTATGTTGCTAGCACCGTAGTCAAGTGTTTCCCAAAGTTATAGGGAGATATGTTGATTGGTTTGGGAGAAAATATAATTTATCGAAATAAAAAGTATATTTTCGTTATCTTTTTATTTTCACCAATCTTATTTTTGCAGCTTCAGAGAAATAATAGTCAGTAATAGTGCTCCAAGTAGTAATCAAAAATCATTTCCAGGCTATGTGTGACATTGTAATATAAGGAATGTAATGATTGAGTACTATTTTGTATTTTTAATATGGCTTTGTTGACCCCTACCCCTTACCCCTTTTTAGTCTTACCGATTTTATTGTTGCAGCTTCAGAGAAATAATAGGCAGTTATAGTGCTCCAAGTAGTATTCAAAAATCATTTCCAAGCTATGTGTGACATTGTAATGTAAGTAATGTAATGATAAAGTATTATTTTGTATTTTCAATATGGCTTTGTTGACCCCTACCCCTTAGAAATACAAGAACGTGGAGGTGGCACAATTGGATCAGGAATTCTATGATGACTACTTATGTCCTGCCTTGTATATTATTTTCTTGGGTCAAAATCCTGTTTCAATGTTTACATATAGACCTAGAGGATGGGAATTTATGGGCTGAAAGATATGGGCCGAAAGAAAATAATGTACATGCTAAGAATGCCTATTAATATGGAGTGCACGATGTAAAGTTTGACATAATTAGAATTTTCCTAGTGAACATGAACATTATACATTCTCAAATATTATGCACCATTCAAAGAGTCCTGAGAGTAGAGACTTTCAAAAGTATATTGTTAATAATAGGAATTTTCACTATGTTTGACTCTCTATTATTGCTTCCAGGGTGGGGAAATTGACCAAATAGGTTACTCCCATGATTTGAGTTTGACAGCTCAATCTTTGTTTTGTCAAAACAACCAACACTTCCCATGTGGGGGTCTCATGCAAACCTTTGAATTATGCTCAACTGCACAAGGGTAAAGGGGATATTTGAAGAAATAATTTTGGAATAAGTGAGAAAAGTCCAGTCCTTCTCCCTTATTAATTGAATGAAATGGGGGGAGGGGGAGTCATTCGGAGTTTCTTCAGAGTCAGAGGTACATTCAAACTTATTTTTAGATATAAAAGGAATATTATAAGAAATACTTCTGAACAATCATTTCTGTCTTTCTTCTTTTGCTCATGGATAAAGTGGAGCAGAAGGGGGTTAAGTCATGAACTTTTTGAATACACGTTTCTCTTAAACCAGTCATCAAAACATTCTGAAAATTGTACACATCGTCAATTTAATGGTTATCTTTTGTATGGTAACATTATAATTTGAAATATATTTATATACTTTTCTCTATATTGTTTTAGATAACACATGAGACACTTCTTTTGTTCTTGGTATCATATGTTCGGAATGAAATGAAACATCTACCCGAACCTCATTGGAACAAAACGACATAAACATAATGTGTGTAGGTCTCTCAATATTGTAATCGTACAAAGGAAGGTTTGGTTGATATTAAAAAAGTATCTTGTTAATAAAATTAAAGGTTGAACTTAATTCTTATCTATTTTGGGGGGTTTTGTAAAAGTTTTTGCATACTTATTGTAAAATCAACCAAAATTTCCTTTGTATAACAATAATATTGAGAGGTCTAAGAAAATGTTGTGCTATTTTGTTCCAACAAGGTTCGGAGAGACATTTCATTTCATTCTCAAGATTTGGTAGAAAGGAACAAAAAACAATTGCACTAAAAAAAACAAAAAATGTTAACAGTTATATAAAATATATATAAATAATTTTTGCATTAAATTGTTGCCAATCGGTCAAAATTACATAAAAGACCGTGTTTTTTACAGAATGTTTTCAATAATTGGTTTAAGAGAAAAACATTGTTGAATTCAGTTCACCATATCGATACATATCCTTTTTCTTGGGAGCAAAAACTGTTTACAGTTCCAAACATAACCCTCTGAGGTAGTATATATAAGCTTTATAAGTCATATTACGATTTCCCTTTGAAGCACAAACTGTAAACAGTTCCACACACCACCCTCAGAGGTACATATGTATATGTGAACTTTATCTACTGTAGAATCTCTTTATGGCTATGTTATTAGAAATACTTTTGGAATAAGTGACTGGACTGCTGTCTATCTTCTTTTGTTATAGTATTTTGTGGATGGTGTTAGAGGGTTGGCAGTTGGCAGTCTATGGTCGACATCTGTAGCAAATGGCAGGCGGAGACATTTTACATCTCCTTTTGTTAATGAATGAGGTGAGGGGGAGGTTAAGGTAGATTAAAATTCTCCTTGGGAGCACCATCAGCCATCATGTCCATCAGCCATCCTCTATCGATGAATTGGGGAGGGATAAGTCATATAAGAATTTTCCTCCTTTGTTAATGGATGGGATGAGGGGAGGTTAAGGTACAACTGTAGATTAAAATTCTCCTTGGGAGCACAAACCACAAACATTATACAGTTTCTTAACCCTCAGAGAAACGGGTGAAATGTATCAACTGTAGAATCTTGCCATGGCTTTAAAAGGTTTGCTTTATGAACTACTTTTGGAGTAAGTGAGTATATACTCATGAAAGGAGTGGGACAGGGGGGTAAACAAATAAAATATATAATCCCTTCATGAATAAATCATATAAGAATTTTCTCGGAAGCACAAACAGCTTACAGCTCTACAACGCATCCTCAGAGATGCAGCTGAACTTCCCGAGTGAGAATTCTTTCATGGGTAAAGGTGTATTTTAGAGTCACATGTGAATTTAATCAACTGTAGGATTCCTTCAGTGGTAAACAGTGCATTTAGGAGTGCTATGTGAATAAGTATGTAACATCAATTGTCCCTATTGAATGATTATAGGGGGGGGGGTATAGAAGATGCTGATATGGCTACTCCCTATTAAACTATATTTAGTTTTAAGATTGACAGCATAGACTCAATAGCAATTACCTGTTCCTCCTGGAAGGAATCCCTTAGCTGATAAAATGCACATGTACCTGCCTGGGTAAGCTATGCTGGACTAGACAGAGCTCATGCTTCAAGGCATCGTTGGGATGTAAATTATTGTACTTTTAAGGATACATTAAATGAAATAATGAGCATACAAATGCAGACTGATGCATCTGAATAAGAATTGTAAGACCTTGAGTTAGAAAAAGAAAAATATAAAAACAAGAATTTAACATGAAGAAATGACCCTTTAGACTAACAAAGGCATCCAGAAATTAAAAAAAACAGTTGATCATTACAAAATTATAACATTATTCCATAATAGCATGTTTTCCCTGGGAAATAAACAGGGAATAGAATTGATATTCAAAAGATCCCATATTATAGCTAGATTCCTATATCAGATCCCGTATTGGATCCTGTATCAGCCTAAATCACATATCAGATTCTATATCAGAACCATTCCTGGGGATTTCTCTTGATTTTTATGTTTCAGAAAAAAAAACAATTTAATAAATAGGTTATTGATGGTGTTGGTGGAATATGAATTTTATTTATTTTATTCGCCTCGAGAACTATCATATTAACACTCGGGCTATAGCCCTCAGTCAATATGATATTTTCCTTGGCCAATATCATATTTTCCCTCAGAATAAAATTCATATTCCATCCCTCCCATTAAATTACCTCTATATATCACACATACATTTTTAAAATGCTACTTGGAGAAATAATTAGTACTCATTATAGAATTTCTGATCTAATTGTGCCACCTTCACTTTCTCATATTTCTAAGGGGTAGGGGTCAACAAAGCCATATTTAAAATTCCAAATAGTATTGTATCATTACATTCTTTATATTACAATTCCCCACATAGATTGGAAATAATTTTAGATTACTTCTTAAAGCAGTATTGGTGCCAATTATTTCTCTGAAGCTGCAACAATAAAGTTGGCGAGACTAAAAAACGAATGAAAATATGCTAATTTATTACTATAAATTGTGTTTTTGTCAAAACCGATCAACATATCTCCCTATAACTTTGGAAAACACTTGACTACAGTGCTAGCAACATAATATGTATAAATCAGTGCTATAG